GAAATCCATAAAGCTTTCACATCTATTAGGATGACAGCCATTAACAATTTTGAACGACATCGTTCATTCTCTCGCTACTATTTTTACAGATAATCGAAAACCTTTTTTTTTGTGTCTGGAAAATGCCTTACGCATCCTTCAACTACTGGGGGAGCGAGAAGAAGGTATGTGGGACTCCTCCCTGTCCTCTTCAGCCAGCCCTGGAGCTCGCTGATGCGAACAGGGCCCTACCTACACCCTGAACAGGGCCACTAAAAACCAGTCAATACTCCTGCACCGTCACCCGACCCGCAATATAAGAACCGCGGTCCCCTTTAAAAAAGTGACAACGCTTTCAATATGGCGGGTAAGCGTTAAAGCTGTCACATAAGCAGAGACCTATCGACTCACTGTTTTCATCTCATGCTTTCATACGATATTTATAATTCAATTTAATTTTGCTTTCTAAAATTAAAATATTGCTACTTTTGTCTGGCTAATGTATTCATTGACATTATGGGTTACCTATAATGCGAAGAGATGGCGGTGCCTTGCAGCCCAAGAAATGATATAGTTTTGACACGGCCACATAATATATTTATATATGTACAGTATATGTATTCTATCCGTTACCGTAGTATCTGTTAGCACAAGCCTTACAGTGCTTACTTTGGGGCTAGGCTAATTGGTGTGAGTGTTGGAAATATTTATTCATTTATTTATAGTATTTTGACGAAATACCCCCTTCTATTCACAGAAAGAATAGTTGCAACTACTTGATAATATTATATTGCGAGCTACTGTCGACCGTTCTTATGACTATACGCATTTTCAGAATCCAAACTTCTTATAGTACAAAAAATATTTTATGACAATAAAAAATTAAGGTACAAAAACCTTTTTAAAAACAAGCTTTTATTCAAATGCGCTAAAAAGAAAAAAAGAAAATTTAGTTAAAGTTTGTTTCTAAATAGATTTTCAAATTTTAGAAGTCCGCCATTGTTGAGAGTGACGTCACATTTTTTTCGAGTTACTCTCAGCAAGCCCTTTAATTTGATACCCATATTGTAGGAATGCATTAAAAATGATTGGTCCGCCATTTTTGGTATGCCGCCATATTGGATTTAGAATGACGTCACACTGTTAATCATGCATTGTCATCCGAACTGAACGAGCATACCAAATTTCAGCTTAATCGGTTGAGGGCAAGTGCTTTAAAATTGAGTTGTAAGATTTGACCGTAACAAACATACATAGCAAGTTAAATAAAAGCTTGTAATAAAAAGTAGCCTAGTCATCTTCACGCTTTTGGGGATAGACTAATTGGGTATTTGACAAGTTTAAGAAAACGATCTCACGTTATTGACTAATGTTTATGGAGTCCTTAAAAGTGGATATTCATCATTCTGTTGTGTATTTCAGTAAAAATAACCATGCCAAGAACTCCATTTTCAAGTTGCCGCGAAAACGTTCCTCTGGATAATATGGCGTCTTACTAGTCTGTGACGTCACACGCGTTATTAAAACGTCAAACGATACAATGTAATGTCACTTTAACCGGAGGTTTACTTGCGTGTGACGTCATTTTAGGCTCCGCCAATACCAAGCGTTTTGGGTCACGTGACAATAGATAAGAAAACTATTATCTTCTTCGTTATGAATATTTTTTTTGTAAAAATAGTAAAAATGCCTGCCAGTATTCATTCTAAACACAGATGCTAACAATTGGAACTTTATTTTTAATACTGTCAAATACCCTATTGGTGTGTGTTGGAAAATATTTTACAAAAATATTTAAATATTAAAAAAGAACCACCACTTCTGCGGCCTTTTACGGGCAGTCGTGCTCGTGGCCGCAAATTTACAACCGTATCTACTGCGACCAAGGCCACGGCCACGACTGGCCATAGTAGTGGCCGTCTGCGCCGCGAGGTGTCTTATATAAAAGAGCGTCAAACAAAAGCTCCTTAAATGAACTTCAAATTTAGTTTCCGTCTAAACCTGAAAACCCGAAGCATTCACATTACAGCCTTTGTAAATAGGCACCTTTACGGAGTCTGCGAGTTTGTATAAGGACCGTCCTTATACCTCGATGTTTTTAAAAAGAAAACCCGTATATTTTCCAATCACGTAGCCATCAACCCTTCAGCCGCACGCTAGTAACGCGTTAGAAAAATCAAGCCCCAAGCCCGGTACAAAAGGCCATTCGCCATTTACTTTTGAAACCCTGCCGTGGGTTAAAACGGATTTTCTTCTGTGTAGGTGAGGTACACTCGATTGGGACGGCGACCATGTAAATGGTACTGATATTTCATAATATACTAAAGTGTTGAAGAATTTAAATCCAGTAACAGTATTTTTATGACGCAGTGGTTAGCAAAAAAGTGAAAGTTCACAAGGTAAAGAAAATTGTATTATCCTTTAACATTAAAAATATTTTTTCGTTTGCCCTCCTTTACGCTGAAAATGCGACTCGACCGTGATACCCCTAGGTTTAGGATCACGAAGACGTATGAGGGCTGAAAAGACGCGGAATTTAACGGGCTTTAAGAAGACGTATAAATTATATTGGAAAAGTCAAAATTTTTTTTGGAAATCGAACTAAAAACGACTAATTTCGACCGAAAAATGTTTTGTGTGTGTTTTCACAGAAAATTTCCGATATCTCGGGAACGGGGCTGAATTTCAAAAATATGAAAAAAAGGCACCTCGGTATTGAACCAAGGAACATTTTAGGTCATAACACTTTTTTCGATATTGGTGACGGTTGAGGCTGTAGAGGTGTGCCCTTAGCCGCGAGTTTTGCGCGACGCGAAATGCGATATAACGCGGCGAGCGGCTCGCGTGCGACCACGAGGACGTATGAGAACTCAAAAGACGCGGAATTCAAAGGGCTTTAAGAAGATATAAAAAAAAATTTGGAAAATTTGGTTTTTTTTTGAATAATCTATAATATCCGAATATCGCGCTATCCGAACGCTGGGATTCACCGCTGCTTATGCGCTGGATCCATCTGCATACAGCGGCGGTCACTCCTTAGTCGTTAATTTTATTGTTAATATGTTTCTTTTGTTTTTATTTTATGAATTCAATTTACTAACACTAGATTTGTAAGCACAATTGTTACTAACCATTATGGATGAATAATCTGAAATAAATGTTATTATTATTATAATAGGTAGATTCATTTTTAATACCCTTTCAAGTCGTGTAGAGCACGAGATCTGTGAATATTTTTTTAATACGAGGCGCAACATATTACCACCTGATGTTAAGTGAAAATGAGGTCCCGTCGCGAAGAAAGATGATGCGGCGGGAAGGGAGACGCTCCAGCTATCCTTGAATTGTCGGATTGAACCTGGTCCCCTACCCCGCGGAGTCCTGGAACCCTTCTCACTAACAGAAAAAAACACCTAGGGGTAGTGTCGTTTTACTGCGGTCTTCAGGAAGTTGCTTTTCTAGACGGGCGCTCTAATTAACGGAAAATCTGCTGTACCCTCTTAAAACTCTCATATCATATCTCTAGCACATAGTACTGTGCTTAGGAAAGCACGTCCAGAGATTGGTCTCAGTTGCTTCTGAAGTCGAAAGTACCCAATAATCAGTCAGCACTAATTCTATCCACATGGAAGAAAAGATTGGGATATTCTGAAGAGACTATTGGAACGTGTCCCATAGGCTGCCAATCATAACCCAAAACGAAATTTAAAAACAGCGCCATCTGTTAACGTGTTCGCGAACTTGTTTGCAAGGCGTACGCAAGCAACACCCACCTAGTGAGCCGATCTCTCATTAGCATTGGAAAGCGAGGCTTCTTAATAAACATGACGTAGAGCAAACATTATGGCCGGCTCATTTCATACATCTACATGCATTGTGAGCCGTTAGATTTCGGATCACGTAAAGGACCGTCGAGTTGAGACATTGGTCTCCGCTAACTCCATTTTAACTTTGATGGGGTGGGAACGCGATGAACTAACATTGTATACGAGTTTATGAAGGCTGAATAGATAGATGGTCGATACGTTGCCTTTACAACGATTGACGTTTTTACGATGTGAAGCCGTTCATAGGCGCGTTATAATCGGTCGATAATATCGGATCGGAAATATTAATTTAACGGACGAGAGCTGAGAGACATTTCAGAAATAGGTATTTGATAAAAGTAATGGCTTCACGCATTGGCAAATACCGTGTGATAGGGACAACAGTAGCTAAAGCTGAAAATTGAGTATAATAATAATAATAATTGTTTATTAAAGGCATATAAAACCCAATAAAAATGTCAATTCAAATTACAATAGTAAAATATATATATATATATATATATATATATATAAAGTGTAAACAGAGTAAAAATAAATAAAATCATAAAAGAAAAATAAAACAATTATAACAGGTAGTTAAAGATTACCTACGTCATTTGCGGTTTTCGCTCTGGTGCACTGATATCTAGTATTTAAATATACTTTGCATATGGTTTTAATTATACTGTTATCAGAAAGACATATTCTTGACCAAAAACAGGCTATACGCTTTCTCATAACAGCATAAAAGTCCGATATACGAGCATCGAAAAACATGCCCGACGCGCTGCAATATCTCGGTAGTCTCATAAGATTTAAAGTATAAAAATTGCAAAATTCTAGGCGATCTTATCTTTGAAAATTAGATATGTCTAAAAAAATTTACCCATACAATAATGGTTACACAAGGCCTCTATATTTCTCTTTGTAAATGCTTATTGAATCTACACACTAGACGTCGATAACCACTTGTGCCATCTATATTGAGAGGCATTTATTAATGTACTAGCAAACCAGTGAACCAAATGTTCACCAAAACCTGATTTCTCGAAAACCGGAAGTGCTACGTTACTCAAATCCGGTTTGTAGTCTTATCAGACTATTCTTAACTTATAACTTAAATATTCTCTTTATCTATCTCTTCGGTTTGGCCGCTGAAACAGCACCACAGACGGACGGACGGACTTGTTTAATAGATAAGAGATAATTACTTACATAGCACATTGATGGTGTGAGTGGCGACCACGTTTTCAGTGAGCTGGGCGTTGATTCCGTGGCAGACCACGACCACGGACCGTCTGTTGGGCTCCACAATCACGGTGATGTTCGACGTGGTAATCCAGCCACCTGGGAACAATTGTTGCTTTTATTAACAGCGCTTGGGAATAGATGAGAACTATAAAGTGCAAGAAATCGATAAGAGATGTCGCTACTTGTACGTAGGAATTGCAGTTATTTAAGTGGACAAATGTTTTGTGTTTTCTAATGATATGCAATCTCTGTGTTCATCCATACTAATATTATCTATCCATACATAATGAAAAAGTGTGTCTCTCTGTCTGTTACCTCTTCACGCTTATAGAAATAAACCGATTGAGATGTAATTTGGTATAGACATAGTTTGAGTACCGGGGGAAGGACATTTTCATCTCATAAATCACCCGTTAACGGGGTGAAAAAACAGGGAAATTAGTATGGGCAACCAATTAAATTACGCAGATGACGTCACGGGCACCCACTTATCTATACTTATAATAAATCTGTAGAGATGTCAATTCTGTACATGAAATATATTTTTAAAATAACTATCAGTCGGTGATTAGTGATCGATACTGATGCCAAAAATGCAATCAGTAAATTTTTTGTCTGTCTGTCTGTCTGTCTGTGTGTATGTTCCTTATAGAAACAAAAACTACTCGACGGATTTTAACGAAACTTGGTACAATTATTCTTCATACTTCTGAGCAGGTTATAGTATACTTTTCATCACGCTACAATCAGTAGGAGCAGAGTAGTGAAGGGAAATGTTGGGAAAACGGGAGAAGTTACTCCATTTTTTAAGCTTCCGTCGTGTGTGCAGCCTTAATGATTAAAGTTACATAGAAATCATGTATGACGGAAATATTCTACATAAAATTATCTAAAAAATATCCCGCAACAGCATATGTCTATCTTTTATGGTTGACTCACAATAACACGTGTAACTCCCGATAGCTTAGCAGTTCGGAGCATTCTGATCATATTTGTTTACTCTTACGTTTATAATACTCGGTATAGAAACACCAAACTTATACATGAAATAAGCCATCGCGCCGTCGCACGTGAATACTGAATCATGCTATAAGGATTATTTTTGTGTAACGGTTGCCGCGCTCGACACGGGTCGCGGCAGCGGTAGGGTACCAAAGGTCCGAGAGCGAGCTGTCTAAATCTGTTTTCTGCGTCGCTCCCCCCCTGGGGGACGATCGCTTCCGATGAAGCCTTAGAGGCCTTCCGGGTGTTTTTTAGTCAGTACGAGTCTGACATAACCTTGCAGCCGGCTGTAGGGTATCCATGAGGATTTCTCATCTGCTCCCCCGCCTGGGAGACCGAAACAGTGCTTATCAGCGCGACTTTTAGTCTTTAAATAGTTTATTTGAATTTCTTTTGTTGTTATTTTGTAAAACAGGTATTAGTTGTTTTGGTAGTGTTTAAATATTCGTTCAAATTAAAAATTATTAAGCGTAGGTACTTTTATTAATTAAAGTAGTTATAAGTATTTATTTTTAAGTGAAGGAGGTATAGGTAGATAGTATTGCACAGGCGTTTCAGCTTTATTTTCATTTCTTTTTTGTTGTGAGTTGTATATATTTCTGGTTATAACTCTATACGAATATTTTAGTTCAAATAGTCACTTAGATTTTATGTGTAAGGTAGCTAAAGTTAGGACCACGTATTAGTTGTTTTGGTAGTGTTTAAATATTCGTTCAATGTGTAATTTAATCATATAGGATGAATGTACGATGGCCCATCGAAAAGGAGTAGAAGCGGTAGACAGAACTTTAAGAGATATAAGACAAAATGATCGACCCATGGGCGGTATCACAGTTTTATTTTGTGGTGATTTCCGACAAACCTTAACGGTAATACCACGGGGAACCCGAGCTGCTGAGGTTAGGGCTTGCCTGAAAAGCTCTTATTTGTGGCGTGATATACATCGGAGCATTTGACTATAAACATGCGAGTGAGAACTGTAGATAACCCGGATGATCGTGAATTTTCTGATATATTATTAAAGAAAATACCTTCACCAAAGATACCTATCCACTGCTACACCAAGGAAAACTTATTCTGACGCCTGAGTTATGTTGTATAGTGCAATCCCAACAACATCGTCAGTTTACGGTGACGTAACAAATATATTAAATAAGCACAATTCTTGGCTATGCGAAAGGTCCATTTTAACTCCTCGCAATGACCAGGCATCTGAGATTAATAATAAAATACTGTCGAATATCCAGGGGGAAAGCAAAGTTTATAGTTCAATAAATAGAATGGCCGATGAACCAGAAGCCACTAATTACCCGATAGAATTTTTAAATTCTTTAAATATGCCCGTACTTCCTTCTCATGAAATTTGTTTAAAAATTGGCATTCCGATTATTCTGCTCCGAAATTTAAGACCACCACAAATTTGCAATGGAACTCGGCTTAAAGTAACCCAGTTGCAACAAAATGTAATCGAGGCTCAAATTTTAATAGGTTGCGGTGCAGGAGAAACCATCTTTATTCCCAGAATTCCCATAATACCAAATAATTTTCCATTCCAATTTAAAAGAACGCAATTCCCAGTATCGGTGTGTTATGCAATGACAATAAATAAGGCTCAAGGGCAGACCTTTCGTGTTGTTGGAGTAGATCTCGGTGTCAGTTGTTTTTCACATGGTCAGTTATGTCGGTCTTTCCCGGGTTAGCAGTCCTAGAATTTTCTATGTTCACGTTCCGGACGGGTCAAATTTCAACGTAGTCTACCCGGAAGCTTTGCGCTGAAGTATTTTCATTCTATATGTACTTAAGACTCGTGTGAAAGCGATCTTAACAATATTACCAATACATTAACATAATAACATACAAGGAGTTACACGCTGATGGTCTCGGGGCACAGTGATAATAATAATATTCTGCGGTTCCTTATTGCGATATTTTTAACAGTATTATATTTCCCTACTAAAATACGAAAGTTAATCTGTCTGTCACATCAAAACCACGGAACCCTGAGGAAGGACATATGCTACTTTTTTTACGAAAAACGACGATAACGCGGACGAATTCGCGGGCAAAAGCTAGTTGTAAATAAATATTAATGATGCTATGAGTAAATACCAAGTCTCTGGACAAGACAAAAACAACCCATAAGGCGAACTATGGGGTGCCCTATCGCTCTCTCACACTTCTTCTTCATCAGCTTATTAATGTCCCCACTGGTGGGGCACAGGCCTTCCCCATAGGTGGATAAGGAGACTAAGCCGTTACCCTCCACGCGGGCCCTGTGCGGATTGGTAGGTGCTAACGACTGCATATGACGGTACCAACGGCTTAATGTGCCTTCCGAAGCACGTAAGAGTTCGAGATATAAAATTTTTGGTCACCCATCCAATGACCGACCACTGCGAAAGTTGCTTAACTTCAACGATCGCAGCAGAACGCGCTAACCACTTAGCTCCTCTTTCATAGGTACTTATCTGGCTCAATTTCACTTGACAGTTGGAACACACAGTCCTGGTGAACTAACCTTCAGGTGAAATGACAGTCCTATTGCTGGCCTCCTTATGGTGCTTGCCCAGCACCAGCCATTTGATGTCAGCAGCAGGATTGGACGGTGCCGTGCTGCAGCTCAGGGGCACCGGGTCCCCGACCCTGGCTTCCGAAGGTCCGGAGATTGTGACGTGAGCTGGGGCGACTGGAACAAAAGATGTGGTGTGAAAATTTGATTATCATACTAAGAATATTTTAGTATTCGTTTTGTTCAGAAAAGATTTGAGTGCGTTTGACCACAATCGGATCTGGTGGGAAGCAACGATGTGGTCTTATCTGGAACAGGCAGACTCAAATAATGCCTTCAAGATCCCTCAAGCCTTAAAGGTTCCTATATTATACTAGCTGTCCCAGCGAACTTCGTACCGCCATAAAAAAATAGGGGTTGGTGGTAGAAGGGCGAAAATTTAGAGTTGTATGTATTTTTGTATGATGTATCATAAAAAAATTAAAAATAATATCTAAAATTAAAAAAAAAAAATTAGGGTTGGATTACCCTTAACATTTAGGGGGATGAAAAAAAGATGTTGTCCGATTCTCAGACCTACCCAATATGCACACAAAATTTCATGAGAATCGGGAAAGCCGTTTCGGAGGAGTTTAACCACAAACACTGCGACAGGAGAATTTTATATATTAGATGTATCGGGGAATAGACACGCAGGAAGGATGTTCCATTCCCCAACGGTTCACATGACATAGAAGGAATTACGAGGTGATTATAGTACTGTGAGGTGATGAAAGTAATAAAATAAACAGATCAGTTACTCCGTGATCATGGCGCTTGCAGGAGTGCTGAACATCTGGGACTCACAAAATCAAAGCACATACAAACATGTCAGCAATCTTGGTAATGATATAATGTACCTAAGTCACGGTAGTCAAGGAATACATGGTTGAAATGAAATTAAAAATATATAATGTCATCATCATCATCATCATCAGCCTCTTAATGTCCCCACTGCTGAGGCACAGGCCTTCCCTATGGATGGAATAGGGAGATTGGGCCATGACCCACCACGCGGGCCCAGTGCGGATTGGCGGGTGCTAACGACTGCAGATGCAACAGGGACCAACGGCTTAACGTGCCTTCCGAAGCACGGAGGAAATCGAGATAGAAATTTTTGGTCACCCATCCAATCACCTGCGCAATCGAGCTCCTCCGATCGAGATATATTATGTGTCTTCCACCAATCCGCATCGGGCTCGCGTTGGGAGTCATGGCTTAATTTCCCTATTCCATAAAAAAAATATCCTACCCACCAATCCGCACTAGGCCCGATGTGTATTGAGCCCAGTGCGGATTGGGTCCAGTGCGTGTTGGTCCCAGTGGCATTTTTATAATATTTATATTTCCCGACCAAATTCAATATTTTCTAGTAAAGGTTTTATTTAGACACAAAAATTTAAATGTTCGTGTAAAACGATACAAAATATGATAATTTAACAAAAGTAGATATTCAAATTCATTTTACATAATAACGTAACACAATTTGTAGCATTAACAAAGGGTTGGTTATTGAACGACTGTAGTACCCACGTCTCGTTAAATCTAACATACAAACATATATAACATATACACACAGCGGAATCATATCGTGACATATCTTTGCGTAGATTGTATGTCCTCAAGGGGATGCTGGAAATGAGGAATACAATATCCAATCTCGTTATAACGTACGGTTTAGAGAAATAATTGAGATGTTTAGTCTGTTCATGAAAATACATTATTTGCATATTTCAATGTCATATTTTACTATAAATATATAGGTAATTATTTTGCGAAATTCGCGATATTGCTCCATCGGTTTTTGCTGTCTGAAGCGAAAACTTAATAATGTATGCATTTTTTGTTTTTCTAAATTTCTCGGTCCGGCATTGGAGGCGGAACGATATTCCATCTAATTAAAAAGTCCGGAAAAATACCGGACAAAAGCCAAATTTCCGGACATGTCCGGATTTGTCCGGAAATTTGGCTATTGTCCGGAATTTGTCCGGATATTTTAATTAGATGGAATATGAGTAATAATACTTACTAAGTTATATCAAATAAGTCAATTAATCTTTATTAAGCTCTCATTAATTTAAAACAAAATATAAATTATCTTTAAAAATCAACAACGAGACCCCTCTAGCGATGCGAGCGTCTGCTACCACGAGTATAATATCACTGTAACTAAGTGGGTGATTAAAAAACTAGTTATTCACGGGTTAATGCACGACACTTTATTTATTTATTGACGTTTGAAAACCTAAGAAACAAATAAGTGGGTGATGTTTGCATTTAGTGACTAAAATGTCCGGACTTTTATTGAAATTTCCGGACTTTTATCGAAATTTCCGGACTTTTATCGAAATGTCCGGCTTTTTGTCATGTCTTTTCAAAATTTTAAATAGTAACCCTAGCCATAGCGGATTTCCCGCTCGAATTGGGAAAGCTAACCTAACCTAACCTAACCTTATCTAACCGCCCCGGCTCGGCCGGTTGATGAGTGGATCATCCTCCTCATTAACTGGTCGAACCGGGGCCCGCCTGCTTATCACCATCCCATGCAAAATAAAAAAATTAAAACTTTCCGTTTCTTATACTTTTTCTAAACTCGATAAGCCTTCTTTCCCTTCTTTTTCTTAAATCTTTCTTGCTCTATCCCCCGGCTCACGTTTCTACCTCTGGCTGTATCAAAGGCGGCCTCAGGTGGAAATTTAGGCCACCTTGCGTAAAAAGGAAAACTGCTTTACTGAAATTAAATATTAATCGATCCTCAATTCATAACCTAAGATTAAAAAAAAAACCTAATCTAACCTCCTCCTTACAGAATACCACAGTAACATAAGACTACCTTCTGGTGGTGTTTTGTTTCTGTCGGTGAGTAAGATTCAGGACTCCACGGGGTAGGAGCTTCGGTTAGGGTCAATATTAATGTCTAGAGTAGGCAATGGGCACGTCTGCGGGATTTTCAGAAATCATCATCATCAACCCATGTTCGTCCACTGCTGGACATAGGTCTCCCCTAATGCACGCCACTGCTCCCGATTTTGTGCTACTCCCATCCAGCCCACTCCAGCCAGCATACGAATATCATCATCTCATCTTGTCCCAGGGCGTCCTACACTACGTTTACCGAGTCGTGGTCTCCACTCAAGAACTTCAGAAATACCCTTGGTGATTCTTGCCGTGGAGTCCCGGCTAGGGCTGACTGAGGGTGCGGAGACGCGGTGAAGTCGCTTAACGGGGATCTCTTCACTTAACAGCGTAGAGGGTATTCGCAGGGTTTTTTCGCGGATAGTATGCCGTAAGCGCTCGTAAGCCGCGCGGACTGCTTAACGGCTTCTCCGTTTCGCTTCCGTAAGACTTGCGAGAGGCTAGGTGTGAGGCTCGTTCGTTGGTGTGCCCCTTAAGGGCGCCTACGATTGTAAATAGAGGTTTTGCCTGCGTAATAAAAAAAAGGGTGGGCAACCGTACCAGTGATAGCTTTGTTATCGCAAGTATATATAGACTATGGTGGTCGCTTACGATCAAAAGGCATATACGCATGTTTGGCACCCTTTTAAGATAAATAATGTGAGCATCACGGAGCAAGTGGTTAGCGCGTTCGGCTGCGATCGTTGAACTTAAGCAACTGTCGCAGTGGCCGGTCATTGGATGGGTGACTAAAAATTACTATCTGGAGCTCCTCCGTGCTTCGGAAGGCACGTTAAGCCGTTGGTCCCGGCTGCATCTGCAGTCGTTAGCACCCACCTATCCGCACTGGGCCCGCGTGGTGGGTCATGACCAAATCTCCCTATTACACCATAGGGAAGGCCTGTGCTGCAGCAGTGGGGACATTAATAGGCTGATGATGATGATGAATGTGAGCCGTCACGGGACGCCTGGCAGATGTGAAACACTAGCCGGTTTACGATAAATACACTAGGAGAATTGCTCGGGATGCGTGCGGTAAAAAAATGACATAGATCCTGTTTCGAAGGACGCTGACGCCGTACTGATCGGGTATTTGTTTTGAGTGTGTATGCTGTTGGTCGCAGATAACCTTTACAATGTCACCGGGTTTGGGGAAGGCGAGATCCTGAGGAGACCTCAAGCCGAGAATTGGCGAGTGCCTCTAGAGGTATTCCAGGCGGATGGCGTCTCCCCACGGGGGGAGTCTCCTCTCCGTCTGGAGCCTCTAGACCACTCGAACCTGACGGGTCTGATCGGGGAGTAGTTGAGCACTATATATTTATATAATAGAAGGTGACTTCAGGCGTATCTCTGAAGTCATTTTTCAACTTGACGACTCTGTATATAACAATACAGGGAGAAAAAACAGCCCTTCCTGAGTCTCTTGCCGGTTCTTCTCAGTACAAGGTCTCCCGCCGTAGTTTTGTGAACCGATGGCGTAGCTTCTTGACCTTCACAAGTGCTTGTAACAGCCTAGACTGAATAAATGACATTTCATTTCATTTCAGTGGTATATATTGCATTTTACGGGCGAGCTTCGCCACACCAGAAATCGGTTTCACGTGCGCCAAAAAATGTTCACATCAAAAAGAAAAAAAGAAATACGACATAGTTATAATTTATCACAAGTATACTAAATGAAGCAATGGGAAGAGTATGAATAGTCGATTCAAAACTAAATTCAAATTTACCAAGTGTTAACACACTACAAAACGCAAAAGTCCCATTATAAAATAAATGAAAATTTCTAAAAAGAAACTACATTATAATAACTATAATAAAAGAAAACATATTCATGAAAATTTATTTCGCAAACATAACTTATTGTAAGTAAGTACCTCTATTAATAATAAGTTATGTTTGCGATATATATAATATTATATATTATGCTAAACAGCAAAGTACTTAACATTTAAGTTCTATAGAAATCAGAAACATTTGGTAACTAACTTAATATACTTATAGAGAAGTTTGCGAGAAATAACAATGGTTTTGAACAGGACCAGATTATAAGGATTTTTCCTTGCAAACGTTCTTGACTGATGCCTCCTTGATTATTATCACTGAAGAAATGATTTTCATATATACAATAACTCATTCTATGCCTGATGAAATGCCTATATGCCTTCCCTTTTTTATATCAAAAAATAAATATATCACCAAAAGACGTCAAGTTTGGAGATTGGATAAGCATTTACAAAACA